TACTGAAAGAGTTGTTACCTGTAGCAGAAGAACCGCTTCTCAATATTATTAACTCGTCGTTGTCTTTAGGTCACGTCCCAAAACCATTCAAGCTGGCAGTTATTAACTTGAATTCATGAATACTACAAATCAGACCATTTAATGACATCATCCTGACCTTTGTGAACAAACAGCTCTGTATGTCAGGACAAACGCAACAAAGTCTCTGAACAGTTTAAATGTCTGGCTAAAGAAGAAAACCTGTACAGGCTGTACTATCGCATTTAAGGCAGACAGCGAGAAGTAGCAGAAAGTGAAGTGGAAACAGAAACAACTAAAGAGGAGGGAATAAACATTCTCCCAGAGTGAAGAGTGCGCTCCATATTTACGGTTTTTCCTAAAATGATTTTTCCTAGAACTTCACTCTGTCATTTGACAGAATATACAGAAAGTCCAATCGACCACAGCGTCTGGTTAGCAGAGTCTGTATTGAAAAAGACAGTCAAGAGATGTTCTCTTGCAGTAACTGATCCTGATCATCTGTTTATTTTCATTTCGGCCTTGAGACATTACTCCACGTTTGTGTGCTAATCACAGCGCTGACCTGAAATGCTCCAGGACCACAGAATATTTTGTAGTACATTATGGCACAGCTGTAGCGCAGACGCTGTTGCTCAAGTTCCACAGTAAGCAAGAGATTTCCCTACAGAAGACTTCAACTTCTCTGCTTCGGGCTCGTGCTCTCAGTCGAATTATGTCAGAGAGGGGGATTGACATGGATTCAGCAGCTTAAAAATGTAGCCCATGTAGTTATGGATCACTGCAACTCAGACACCACAGTAATTTATCTTTATTATTGAACTAAGGCCAAATCAACTACAGATTTTGAGCTGGAAAATATATCAGGCTGCATGAAAATCCCTTAAAATATTCATGGTGTGCAATAGATTGTCTTACATCATTAAAATTCACATAATTCACAACCACACACAGCGTTGTTACCGCTTCCATAACTGGATTTTTGGTTGTTCCCATAACAACAATCCACAATGGGGGGAGAACCGTGACAGGAACGAGTTAGTGAGGGAGGTGCGATCCAACATTTTTTTCTTTCTACTCCCTTTCTCTCCCACCATGTGCTTCTCTTTCTTTTACTCTTTTTTTCCCCCTGCCTTTTAGTTTTTCCGAAGTCTGTATGTGCTGACATGCACTTCATTATCTTAACTATTTTGTAGCTTACGTCCTTTTTTTTTTTAACATTCTTTCAGACAAGCAAGGTCATTGCAACTGTCAAGGAAAGTACTAGGCCTTCTCAGCATTCCAACTAAACGGCAATTTCATTTATCACGGATTACATAACCCTCTCTATCTCACAAATGGAGAGATACTGTTGGACCTAAGCAGCAGAAACCACAACAGTCAGAGAGCCGTGTCCGTCGCGACTCGTGAGAGTGATTTCCCACAGCAAGTAAACAACAACAGAGGTCTGACCACATCCAAACCCCGGCACCCAAACACATCCTCCTATCAAAATATTGACTTCCTCTCCCAGTTGATTTCAATGGACACTGTGAGAGAAGAGGTGGTTTCCACTAAAGGAGGACTCCATGTTTAGTCTTCTTAAGCAAGCATGTGTCAACTATGGAGAAAGAGAACAGGTAGGCTCCATGTGAGAAAACCTCAAAGACGGCACATTACAGTCACAGTTGTTGTGAAAGTGGTCACATTTAGCAAATTAATGGGAAAGTTTCCACAAATGTGAAAACAGTGCAGTCATTTACTCACCCTCATGTTGTTCTAACCCCTGTAGTTTCTTTATTCTGTGAAAAATTAGATTCAGTTTATGTTTGGCCATGTCAAAGCTGCTTTTTTCCATACAAGGGGAAGGTGATTTATATTTCCATGTTATGAAAAAAAAAAAAGACTTTATTTCTACGACTTGTATCATGTATTCTATGTAATATATTAAGTGTTCTGAAGCCATAAGTCAGTTTTTTGTTGGAAACAAACTAAAATTTAAGTAGAGTTTTTCACTCTAAACAAACTGAATTTGATTGGACAGCTATGGTGGAGAGTAGGGCTGCACGATAAATCGCATGCGATATTTAACGCGCATCTTGTCAGAAAAGCCGGTTCTGTAATCAGCGGTAAATCTCCATCACGTGCGTGCTTTCACATTGAGCAGCATTAACTACACAGAGCCGTTGTTCACTGACGAGCTGCGCAAAAAATCGTGCGAATATGAACGTGGTTTGTTAGGGTTAAATTGATCAGTGACACAACGACTTAAATTTTGGGCCTTTTTTTTTGCATACAAAGCTACTGTGGGTCTATAGAAAATTTGAAATATAATGTTGTATGGATTACTTCTATGATTCTTCAGTGGTGCTATTTAGGACTTTTTGGAACTTGGCAGTATAGAGGCCCATTCACACCAAGAATGATAACTATAAAGTTAACTCTAATGATAACTATTTTCTGCACCAATGCACAACAACATTCTGTTTATTAAAAAACATGCACTGATCTTATATAATCTGCGGCTTTCATACTTGAGCTGTTTAAAGTTGAGTGGATTCTGACTGGCTGTCAATGTTTGTATGGTTCAATATGTTTATTCGTATATGGTATCATTATAGTTGTGGTGTGGACTAATCTCCAAACCTATCTGCATAGGATTAGAACGACTAATAAAATTTAACAGTTACAGTTATCATTCTTAGTGTGAATTATTGTTCTTGATGTGAATGGGCCCTTAATCCCTATGTAAAAAATAAAAGCAGCTTGCATATTGGAAAATATAATACTGAGTCGAATAAAAAGCAACAGAGTAAAATAGAGATAAACAAAACTTTCCTTTGTCAAAAAAGGCTGTGGATCATGATAGATGAGCATTTCTCCCTTTTCTGTTAATTTTGATTTTAAAAAAATAAACTACTTAATTTACTTAATACGATATACACAGTTTCTGAAATCAAGGTTGACTCTGAAAGTTTCCATTCAGTGTCCAGTTTGTTCCAACCCTGATTTTTAATACTGTATGCTGGACCCCAATAGCCCTGCACTGCTAATGCTGTGTTTAATCTTAAAAAGGAATGCAACCTTGTCTTTTGTCCATGGCTTGCACAGAGGACAAGTCCACTTAGCTCAATTTGGCCTTCCCTGTCATTTATGGAGCAGATGCACTGTAATAAAACTGGCAGGAAATCAGAATGACTGATAATGACCCCGACAGGTCAAATGACCATTTACTACAGTGATTATATGGGTATAGAAGTAGAAAACGTACAAGATCCCGATGCCAAAATAATCTCACTAGGTACACAAAGCAATGTTCAAGGACACTTAAATAATTTATACCTTTAAAATACTGACAGTGTCACATCCCTTTAATATTTCAGTACGATGAAGCATGAGGATCAGTCCTGTTCAACAAAGACACCATCTATATACCCAACTCTCAAAAACAACACCAATCTAAGCCTCGACAAAACAGGGACTTTCAGTTATTTCTTAACATCAGCCGTTATTTCCCAACAGATTCCTGCTTGAACTGAGCGATAAAGCGAGTATTTGCTGGTATCTGGGTTTGTCTGTGCAGGAGGAGCACTGAGATTGGCTTCTCAGGAAAGAAAGAGCCATGGCTGTTACAAAGCAGCTCAGTCTGACTGAGATTACAACAGACCTGTCAGCACAGAAAAGAGAAGTGCTTTCTGTTGGCGAGATAACTCCAACATCGATCTGTACAAAACTCTTCTGTCTCACCTATCTCTGCCGCTCATTACTGTTCACATCTGGGTGGGAAGCACTTCCTGTTTTTGTCTCCCAAATAAGCACAGGCCATCCACCTCTCTGTTCTGTCTGATAGACACTACACACAAACACACTAGGCACGGGTCAGATGGGTCAAATGACCCCACACAAAGACTCACCCCCCTTCGTTGCTGTTGCCAAGTCCGACAAGCCATGGCGCTCTAATGCCACACATCATGTTCTCACGCAGTGAAAAAATACATCGCGGAGCAAAGACGACACTGACAACGTGCCGACAGACAAGACGTTAATCTACTCTCCTCTCTGGTTTGTATGTCGGACAAAACAGCTAATTCTGAGTTATGATTGGTCAGATCGCCTGTCAATCAAACTCCCTGTTAAGGGTCAATTAATCAATTACTGAGGTCTATAAGTAACTTTTTCCCCCTAACTAAATAAAAGCAAATATTCAGAAAATAAATAAATACACTAAAAATAAACCAAAAACTGCATTATAATTCCAAACTACACATTTTGAAAAAGGCTATATGTTTCTATAGTTGTATGTCTTTATCTGTTGCATTGCATCTTACATGGTTTTTCTGCATCTCACGCCATTGTGCATTAATTTTAAATTGACATGTTGTTATAAAACAGAGTTAAAAAGTAACTAAAATAACAAAATAAAAAAGCAAGACCCCTGAATTGTTACATTCTGTTTTTCAACAACATGCATCCTGTGTGAACACACCCTAAGAAATGTGTCTGATCGGCGTTTGGTGGATATGACCCTAAGTCTAATTATATAGGGCTTTTTATAAAAGACCAACTAGTTGACTAGTTGTTCAGACAACCTACTAACTAGTCGATTATGAAATTCTATGTATGACGCTTTCAGCTTTATAAATAGCACTGCGTTAGAGCTCAAAAAGGAAACCCCTAGTCTTTCTTGAGGTGTCAGAGGGGTTAATTCCTTATAAAAAGAGTGTGGCGGTAATTCTCAGAAGTGCTGAGGTTTTAGATGTGTGAAGGACAGCACAGGAAACGCTGGGTATTTTTTGAAGAACTAGGCTCCAGCAAGTCCCCGTTCATCTGTTCTACCTACTACTTTCACTCTTTGTTTCTTGACTTTCTGCTGAGGGACCTGAGGTTTCTTGTAATTGAATGCCGAACAGAGGATCACATTCTATGATGAGATATCAATGTTTTCTCCAAGGGGACAGAAATAGTGTAGGTTCATGACAGCACCACTGTGTAGGGTGATTTACCTCAGACTGAAACTTAGGACAAAGAACAAGCTCCATTTTGAAGATAACTCTTAAAGGTGAAGGGACTGCTCACATCCTCAATATTTTTCTTTCATCCTACAAAGAAACAACAAAAAAGGATATTACTGTCATAAGCAGATTTCACTCAGTTGTTCTCAAAGGGTTCTTGTACATGAACTAAAAACCTATCAAAAATGGTAAATATTTTAAAAGTGAATTCATAAAAATGAAGATTTAATCCCCTATTTTTCTACTTTTATGAAGAACTTCAAGCTGGAAAGAAGATATGAACTCAATGATCTCACAGAGCCAGCGGATGTTGCATAGTGATCTCACACAGGAAATACAACCTGTCAACTACTACTAGCATAGTTTCTAACCAGCCATTTAAAGCCCCACAACAGTTTCATTTCATTTTCTTGTTTGTCATAATTTTAATACCAAAACCCTCCTGGTCACCAGCCCCTAATGCCAAGCAACCTGCCAAAGGTTTCTCAAGAATCAAGCATTATTAGTATGATTTAAAAAGGAAGAAAATAATAATTAAAAAGCTACACAATATGTTGTGCTGTTTTGCCACAATCATCTTAGTTGGTTTTTACTAGGGTACACTTTTCTAAATCTGCTTTGTGATCAGGTTTGCAGTATCTAAACTGCAAAAGTAGTCTACTTTCAATCCAAAACAAGGCTATGGATACCTTTAATCCCCTGAACTAGAGGTCAAGTTAAAGGTTAAATTAACCTTGATAACAGAGATTATAATCAGCCTTTCATAGATGATAACCTCATTCTTTAAACAAGTATATGATAAACAAAGAAAAGCCACTACCGTTTATTCATTTATTGTGGTTTAGAAAGATAAGCAGTTTCTGAAAAATATGAACATGTATGCTAGCTTTCATCCCTTTCCATGAGAAGTAAAACAAAGTCACTGTAAAGAAAAAAAAACAGATGATTCTGGAAAACGATTAAGAAATAAAGAGATTAGAAAACCAATTCTTTCACTGTGCTTGTACAAAGTGTCCAGTCACCAAATAAAACCATGAGTTGTTGTGTAACTGTGTGTGTGTACGTGCAATTCACTCAAATTAACTCACAAATAAACATACACGCAAAACACAGAGGTAGCAGACTAGTGGGGCAGGCAAAAATAAACACTAAATCCTGTGAGAACCAGAAATCCAAGCCAGACCATAATACTAGCAACCTTCTGGAAACCAGATGCACACAGCCAAACTACGCCTGGCACAGCCAACAGGCCTGAATACTGCCAAAGAGGTCTGCCTCATGCCAGCACCAAAGCAGCTCTCACTTAGAGTGAGAATTGAATATGGGGCAGGCAAGGGTGTCAGCAGAGCAGGAAAGATCACAGGCACGTAGAAGAAACCCACTGCAGACTCACCTCAAGAGTGTGAAGAGAGAGAGGAACAGATGAGTCAGTATAAGAGAGGTGGTATTCAACGCTCTGCCGCTCACTGGGCTTTTTCATGTGGGAGCAGACGAGAAATGGCCTCTAATAAAAGCAGAAATCAGAGTGGATTCCCCACCACTGAAGGTAAACAATGCACATAAAATAATTACACATATCCTTAAGAAAATTACTGGCGATTGCCCATGTAAAATTCACCATTATGTAGAGCTTACTTGTTGGTGGGGAGACATAAAATATAAAATAGAATATAAAATTTATTGAAAGAACGACAAAGAAAGAAAGTCCAATACAAGTGGCAAATAAATAATATAGCACCTACTTACTGGCCAAAGACAAAAATGGAATGAGATGTTTTGCCATTTTTATCACAGCCAAAAAATAAAACTAAAAAAATAATAATAATAATATTGCTGTCAAAATTAACGCACACACAAAATATTTAACGCAATTAATGCAGGGGCGGAGCTAGGGTTGGCCACCCCACTCACAACTGCTGCTTCTGTCTCTTTTTTCTTGACAAGAATTGCATTTATTTAGATGCAGAGCTATTTTACGACCACATCATACATGAGACTTTTCAGCCACTCACTCCAACTTCACCTCAGCACCAGGCGTGAGTCAAACAAACGTGGAAAAGGTACAGGTGATGAGGGAGCTTCAGTAGAATAACAGTGAACTGCGGTCAGATGAGATGTTGTCAGGCCATGTCAGTAAAAAGTTTCCTGTCCTGTCAGTCATTATACTGTGCTCGTAGCACATGCTCTTCAATTGCACGTACAAATGTGGTGGCGCGCTGTAGCCTATATCATATCATATTCAAGCGAGTCAGAAAAGGTCAAGAGTTGTGAGAAAATACGATGCGTGTCAGATCCGCATCATGTTCAACAGATGCAGCTCTTAAAGTAATAGCAGCCAAATAACCTAATAACCCAGCTGCTGTGATGTC